TATATATATACAAAATAGGATAGGTATACAGCTTTCTCTTGGTTCAATGAGAAGAAAGATTTGTACTAATATTGTTTAGACAAGAGATCATGTCTCCATCTTTTACTATGAATAACTACTATGAAGACAACATTATGCAATGCATTAATTACTGTAACTGTCCTACTAACCTGTTTTGCAACTATCTCATTGCTATTTGTTTCTCATAAAAATTAATAAAAAGTTAAAAAAAAGAAAAAAGAAAGCAAAGAAAACCAATCTTAATTTAGGGATCCAACTCAAAAGAAATCAAAATTATTCCATCTATCTCCAAGAACTAGTTAGTAAGGTTTATATTAAATATAAGACCATTATAGTTATAAAGTTCTTTAAACCCTTGCACTACACCCTTAAAAGGAAAGAAGAAAACAAACAAACACTGGGCTTACACATTACAGAATTCATTTGTTTTCACTAATTATAAAATCAAGATTCAAGATGCTAGCAGCTCTGTTGTCTTTCTGATTGAGAAAGGGAAGCATACTTGTTTGCTGTCACACAGAACCAATCTTCTTTAGATCTCAATAAAGTATTTTTTACTTATGTAAGAGATAAACAGAAGAATGAAAACTGCTGTACATATACAGAACTTACAGAATAAGAATTTTTAATTAACACCCCTTAAAGAAATTCAATGATAAAATATAACTGATGCAACCAGACTTTTTAAAATTTGAATTTAAGTAAAACTTATAAAGTCCTTAGCATAATACTGACACACAATACTAAATAAATACACAGTAACTACAGTTTTTAACACAGTAAAGGTAATTGTGTCATTACGGTAAAAAATCATAAAAATTACTTTCTGATTATATTACTAATAAGGAACCTAAGTTTATTCTTACTATAGTTAGGTTTATACTCAGAACCTTATTACTTTATAACCAAATATGTGAACCTTGATAAATTATGATTCAGATTTTTTTAAAAAGAGCAGTGCAAAGTAGCTGAGAGAGAATTAGGAATTTTAACATGGCCTGGGCAAAATATAACAGGGCTGGATACGGCATTTTCTTAATGTAAACTCTGGCCACCCAGAATTACGTTCTTGCTCTCTGGAGAGGCACGCTGAGGACTTAGGGATGAGATGTGACATCTGGGATTTACCTTAAAATGGTTAAGTAAAACTGAAGACAGATGAGAGATACATGAAGCCACTACGGGAATTCTAATCACTTGGTCAGAGGATTACCTCTGGATGTGTTATATTATTTTTCATCTTTTAATTATGTATATATTCAACATATGAGAAAAACAGAAGCTTAGTAATTCACAGCTCAGGCTTCCAGTGGGCTCACGATAGACCCACTGCTCCATGGTTCAACTGTCTGGCAAGTGTACAAAGCTGGATTTTACAACCTTTATACACCAGACATACTGGCATTAGGAGTTACCACCCCATCATGAGCATGCCAGCCCCACCTCATACCCTGCTATTCCCAAGCAAATGGGAAAGCTAGGCCTACAGCTGCTCATAATTAACTATTCCTAAAATACATAAAAATATTTCAATTTTCTAAGTAAATCTTTACATCTATCAGGTTTCTTAGGCACAGGCTTGTTGCTACCCTAGAGCTAACACACACCAAAATGATCCTTGACATCACAGACATTAAAGTGACTGATGGGCCATCCCAGTTATAAAATAATCTGGAGTTTGGCCTTGGAGTCTTGCTTTTGAGGACTTCACCCTGACAAGTGCCCTAAAATGACTCACCTCCAACTTCTAAGATGACTCTAGCACAACAGTTTCTGCCAGGTATTTTTTAATTACCATTTTGGATTGACGCAAAGCATCATTTACTTAAATGGGATAGTGTGATGAACACAATGATTCTGACTTTCATAGAGCTCATCCGAAACAGATAATACATTCATAGGTCTCTCGCAGCTATTCCCAATTGGAAACAATGGAATAACAGGCCAAATGTAGATTTTAATCTACAAAAACTACAGACTCGTTTCACTCACTCTGACATTGATACTGGTGACAGGAAAAGGCCTGTAATGAGGCATCCCTAGCAAAAACTATATTAAGCTTGTTCAACATGAATCAGACTGTCATAAAAAGTTCCAAAGGCTATAAAGGATACTAGTACATGAGCCAAAGTCCCACAGTTTTTAACTGAATGCTTTCCCAGCTAAAACTATAAAGCAAGCTCTCTCTCTATGACCAAAGCCTCCAGCAATTCATCCTTCCGAGCCACAGCCTGCCAAAGTAATGGCCCATCGATCTGCTGATCTGTCTCACACAACTGTACTTCAGTAAGGTTGAGTCAGCTGCCATGAATGTTTATCCAGCATCTAGTATAATATGTGTGCATGACTGTATCTCAAATATTGCCTGAAGGGCCAGCAAGATAGCTCAGTGGATTAAGCCGCCTGCTCAGGCAAGCACAGGGAAGGGTTTCGGTCCCCAGTGCTGCATGCCACGCCAGCCACGCCCCCAGGTGCCACCAGCCACTGACTCCAGGCGTGGTGGCCCACCCCTGTAATCCCAGTACTGGGGAGGCTGAAAACAGGAGGATCACTATGAATCTGAGCTGCATAGTGAGACCCTGTACAAAGTACATAAATTAAATAGAGAGATAGAGACACAGATAGACAGACAGATAAATATTGCCTGAATTAACTGACCCAAGGCATTAGAATGAAGTGATATTAACTCTTTACAATTCAAAAGGAATACCTGAATCCTTTAGGCCTTTTCTGTAAGTGTGTGTATGGACTCAGAAAAAATAAACATTATAGGTAAAGAGGTAGATGCAATACAAAGTGGTTATTTCCCTCCAAGCCTAAAAGTGTTCATCCTCCAATCACAACTGACATATATCGCATCCTTAGAATGTGCCAGAGACTAATGCCTCATTGGTATAACATCATTTAGTCATCAAAGGAACCTATAGAGCAAATACTATTAATTATATGGTGCTTTACTATTTCAACAACATTTTTTCTCTAAGGCCTGAGAGCTCCCCTGGACAGTATCCCCTTGGAGAAATTATTTTCCCTGCTTGGATCTTACTAATGAACATTTGAGAGAGCTATATTTTGTCACTCAAGTCTTCTTAAACAGTCCCTAAGCATTCAAAAGCTGCCACACTTAGTCTAAGATAGGAAAGAATAGAAACGTATTGTAAAACCAAGGATTCTAACTTAAAAACCTCACCAAGTTTCTCTCAGCACTACTCTTTAGGAAACAAAGGCAGTATGGTTACATTGGAAGTGATCTTTAGAGACCATTACTGAGGATAAGGACACATTAATATAAACAAATGGTGTCGCATCCATAAATTTTAATAGTCTTTAAAATGCCTTTCTACTGTAGTTGAGCCCATAATGAGCATAGAAACAGTTAAGTTGTGCAGTCTATGAGAAAAGCAGCAGAGGTGTGTAATACCAAATTAAAATTAAGAGATCGGCAAGGGTCTGAGTTCAATCCCCAGTTCTGCCAAAAATAAATAAATAAATAAATAAATAGTATAAAATAAAATAAAATTAAGAGATCCGGCTGGTGAGATAGCTCAGCAGACTAAGTGCCTGCTTTAAAAAGGTGAAAGATTTATATGATCTAAAGAGAAACCAGAGTATCAGTGCCTGCTTTAGCAAGCGCAGGGATCAGGGTTTGATTCCTCCTCCTGCATGCTGTGCCAGCCTGCCACTGGGGCACGTTGAGCCAGCGACCGAGTTTGGGGTGTGGTGGTGCATGCCTGTAATCCCAGCACTAGGGAGGCTAAAAACAGAAGAAACACTACAAGTCCAAACTCCGTAGTGAGACCCAGTACCAAATACATAAAATTTAAAAATAATAAAATAAAATTAAGAGATGAATCTCTAGATCTTCAAAAGTGCTTTGGAATAGATTTGCTTTGCTGTAGTAGCACATGAAGCAGCAAACAAGTAACAGTCCTGTCTAGTGAGCCCGGGGAGAGTGCAGCAAGGAGGATCAAAATCACCGCATCTGCAGGGGAGGAAGAGGAGCAGAAAGCCACAGTGCTGGTGACAGTAGTTGGCACATGCAGACAGAGCTTTCGTACCTTACTCAGAGCTTGTCCTAAAAGATTCTCAAATGCTTTCAAATTAAGACAGGGACCATTGTAGTAAGGATTACTCTGCGCTTTTCTTCCCAGCCAGTACAATGTTATCAAAACCTTAAAAAAAAAAAAAAAAAAATTCATGACAACAAGATCAGTCTATTTAGTGCCCAACTACAAGTTCAAACGCAGTGAGTTTTGTAGATACGATAGATCATATTACTCCATGGAAGAGATACAAACTTTTAAATTTATCACAATAAGAAGTGCCATTAAAAGTCTTAAATTATTCTTACCAGATTTTCTTATCTCAAAGAACAAGTTCTCTGAGCAAAATGTATTTATTTATGTACTCTATAAGCAGATATAATGAAGGCAAAAACTTGTAAGAGAAATATACAAGTAAAACTTTAAACCCCATCAATATTTTTAAATACAACTATAGAATACCTAAAATAATCTTCAGTATTCTTAATAAGAACATTAAACATTCCGCAAAATAAAGCTGTCCCCTTTAGATAGTCTACACATGTAGAATATTAAACATAGTATATACATTTACAATGAAATATTAACAAGCCCTTCAATACTGCTTTTCCTTGAAGTATGATTTGAGGGTTCCTACTTATTCCCCTAAGAATCTTAAAATAAATTTCCTCTTACCACATTAGTAACATACCAACCAACTTCCTAAATTTAACCAACCCTCTTATACCACGATGTCAGAGAATATATGTTCTAACCATGTATTTTAGCGTAAGTATTTAAGTATATTTAGAGTTTGTGACTTTTTCTAGGTGAAATTTTAATTATAAAAAAAATATGAAGCATATTTTCAGATCTATTTTCTAACAAAATACTAAATTAAAAACTTTAATGTTCAATGAAAGTAAATATAGTCTTACATTTTTCACTCTCCTATCAGTCTCTTCTTGCCTGTAAAGAAAAAGAAAAAATTAAGTAATATACATGATCCTTAAATTATTAATTATAACTTTAAAATCATTTTTATTCAAAGTTCTATGAATATTAACAACACTTGGAAATTCAGAAATTTTAAGGCACATATTTCCCATCAGAAAAATTACTCCATATTCATTGATTTGGTTAAATATTATAAAGGGCCATATCCCACAAAAAGTAGTAGGTTTTTTTTCTCCTTTTATCCATTATAATGATTTTTAAAATATGGTAGGGCCAGCCAGATAGCTCTGTGGACTAAAGTGCCTGTTTAGGCAGAGCACAGTGGCTGGGTTCAATTCCCAGGGTGCAGTATCAGCCCCACCCCGAGGCGTGCTGAGACAGCCATTGAGACTGGGCGTGGTGGCGCGAGCCTGTAATCCCAGAGCTTGGGAGGCTGAAAACAGGAGAATCACTACCAGTCTGGATCTAAGTAGTAAGACCTTGAAGAACTTTCAGACCCTGTGCCAAATACATGATAAATAAATAAATAAATAAATAAAGTTATTACGAGTTTTAAATTCTCATTTTAAACCATGCTTAAACCTGGGCAACAAGAGAAAAAAGACAAGAAAAAAAATCTTAAAAGGAAAAAGAAGTGGCTGTGCACAAGAGACTCCTCTCCACTGTCTGCGAGGCTCATCACCCACATTCCCCAGGGCAGGCTGCTCAGAGATCGTGGCTGCAGATATTGCAATGGACAGGTCAAAAAGCCACGGAGCCTCAGCCGGGAGAAACTCACTCTACGACCAGAGTTGTGGGCACTGTCTTCACATATAAAGGGGAATGATTTTTATGGGAAAGATAAATGGAGGCAGGTGTCACCTCTGTGTGGGAGATGTAACAGTATGTCACAGATTAAAGACCTATGCCATCCTAAAAAACACGCTTCCGTCACTAGACACACATGTGTTCACTATGAATCCAGAGGCCACAGAAGCTTGAGCTAGATGGCTTCTAAAACAGAAAATACATTTTCAGCCTAACTGTAAGTGGTTTACTTTTAGTATAAAATATACAGACACATGCGTTATTCATATGTATGTATAAGACATATACATAAAACATATTACAGAGATAATTCACTTTCATATATCCAAACGCCAAAGAAAAAGGGGTGAACATGTGTGTCCAGAGCCCATATTTTGACTTTATTTTTTGAGACAGGGTCTCATTACGTAGTTCAGACTGGCCTTGAACTCATTGTACAGCCCAGGATGGCCGGGAACTCATGATATCCCTCTTGCCTTCGCCTCTCTACTGCTGGGATTATAGACATGTGCAACCACACTGGGCCCAGAAGCCAATACTTAACAAAGCTTTTGAAAAATGCACAAGGCAACTATAACTATTCCTTTTCACAGGGAAAAAAGTGGACCAAAATCTATTTTAAAATAACCCCTAAAAAATAGCAGTATCTTAATAAAATTCATAAACTTTCATACTATTGGTGGAAATGTAAATTGGTGCATCTATTTATACTTTTACCCTACTTTGTAATATCTATTTGAATTAAATATATCAATATTCTATTACCTAGTCTATTCCCAGGTAGATTCTGAGTGTTTATATTTACCAAAATTCATATCCTAGAAAGTACAATAGCTACAACTGGAAGATATTTACATGTCTAACAAGGACAAAGATTACAGACTATGTACATGATGAAATATGTGCTTTTCTTTTTTTTTTATCAGTACCGGGGATTGAACTCAGGACTTTAAGCTTGCCAGGCAAGCATGCGTTCTACTGAGCTACCTCCCCAGTAACATAATGAAATATTATGTGAAAATGAGAATGAAAGCCTGTAGCTAATCTAACCACATGGTTCTATTTCACAAAAAAATAGAAGAAAAAAAAGCCATGACCAATAAAGACAGAAAGAAATGTTCAATGCTGCTGACCATTCAAATAAATAAAAACTGAAACAACCCTCAGATTCCACCTCCAGAAAGAAGGGCTACCATCAGGAAGTCAAGCAGTAACAAACGCTAGTGGGGCAGTGAGGAAAAGGCATCCTCTATAGTTTGTGGGAGTGCAATCTGGGACAGTGCTATAGAAATCAGTATGGAGAGTCACCAGAAGACTAAAACTAGAAATTCCACTGAACTCCTGTAATCACAGCACTCGGGAGGCCAAGGCAAGAGGGTCGCTCCAAGTTCGAGACCAGCCTGGGCTACAAAGTCAGGTCAAGGCCAGTATGAACTGCTTAGAGAGGCCCTGTCTCAAAAAGACAAAACTAAATAAATAAATGTGTACCTTAATTTAGTAAAATTGTCTTACATGTGTTATGGTTTTGGCCTTTAGACTGCTAGTCGATATATATGATAATTAACTTTATAAAGACTTTTAAGGTAAATAAATAAAGCTGATGGTGGCAAAAAAGGGTGGTGGAGGGGAAGGAAGGAATGAACAATTGAGATGTGTTATGTATATGTAACAGTTCCTCAAAGTGAATGTAATCAGATACTGTAAGCACACATGAATAAAACAATTTTTTAAAATTATAAACTAGATCCAACAAATGTATGAGCTAAAATAAAACCGTTCTTGGGAAGGAAGGGAGAGAGAGACCGAGGGTGGGCAGGAGCCACACACAAGTCAGCCAGGCTATTTGATGAACTTATACAAAGTGCACAAATAGGCTATACCAGTTTATCTCATCATGGATTCGAATGAACTAAGGGGCTCCCGGAGCAGCGCCTGTGCCACAGGGCGCAGCGCCCGCTGGAGGATCGCTGTTGTGATCCCGCAGCTCGTGGTGCTCTTGGGGGGTCGGGGACACTACGCAGGCGCTGTACAGGGCGCGTCTTGTCCCCACTACCGCAAAGTGACCACCTGGGCTCCACCACCCCACTGTGCACTAACGTCTCTGCTTGGAGCCACCTGACGGTGGACTGAAATCGCAAACCAAGATAAACCTTTCCCCTTTTAAGTCATCCTAAGAATGGAAAAGCTGACTAACACAAAACAAACATGTACTATTAGAAGTCGGGACCATGGTTACCAGTGGGAGAAGGGGACAGAAGTCACTGGCAGTGTGTAGTGCCTGTAGGATGCTGATAATTTGTATTTTGATCTGGAAGCTGAGTATATGAGAGCATGCTTGGTTTTTAAATAATGTTTAAACCATACTTTTACAGTATGCATATTTTTGTATGTCTTTTATACTTCAAGAAAGTGAATACAATAGTTCCTCGCCGTTTTGCAGGTGGACTTTCATGGACTCAGTGTTTCACAGGTTTCAAAAAATATTAATCTAAATTATGTATCACAGAGCTTTTGCTATATCACGGAATTTTTGTGGCAGTGTACAGTACAGTATATGTATATGCATAATATTTATGGTTTTAATGATTTCTGCCTACAATATTTTCAATATATAAAAACATTAAAATGTTAATTATAACATTAAAAGAATATTAAATCAAAATAAAATACTTTTACAATATGTATTTCTTTAGCAGATGACTGCATATCGTACCATACAGTATACATATGTTGTTAAAATTACGTAGGTTTACAAGTTAAGAAAATGGTTAAGAACATTAGAAATGTTTTTGAAAGTATGGAAAAGGTTTATAAGAGTGTGGGAAAGGTTTATAAAGCCTTAAAATATATATAAATACCAAAACACACTACCACTAGTTTGCTGATTTTCACTTATCACGTAGGTGTCCAGAATGCCCCCTGCACGATAAGTGTAAACAAAGTATAAAACAAAGTTCACAGCTCAAGTGCTCAAACCCTAACTTAACTGTTGGATACAAGGAGAACCATCCTGTAAAAATTAATAACGTTTTATTTTGCATTAGTAAGAGCAGAAATCACCAGAAGTGGTCAATGAAAACTTATAGTTGTAAACACATAGTCCCTTGTTAGATTAATGACCCATAAACATACAACTCTGGTGTGTCAAATTATCCAGAGCATAGAAGAACCATCAATACACAGTATGAAGGATGCTGTAGCCCAAGAGTTATCCCACTTTTGTCAAAAGCATATTAAGAGCAGAGGAAATAGAGTTCTCTTGAACTCCTGAGCTCCTTGCCACAGCCCTCCATAAAAGTTTTCAACCCAACACACTCATCTACTTTAGACTTTTTATCATGATAGAGCAATAACTGGAAATGCACAGCCTGTTCTGTGACAGACTCCCACAACAGCAGTGACCTTGGCATTCCTGTCCTTCCTTCACTTTACAATGTCTTCTAAATATGAGCATTTACAATGTGCTCTTCAACACAAGCATACACAGACCTGCCAAGGTAGCGTCCTACCACTGAAATGTAATGCCAGGAATTCAAGTAGTTGATTTGCTGGAGTAAAGAGAGTTCATTATGACACACCACAAACATTCCACTACATGAAGTCAGGAACAGGGCCTCTCCTTTCCCTAGGATGGCCATGGGGCATTACCCTAGGACTTTTAACTAGAACAAGAGGGCGGAGGTGAGCTCACTATGGCTCCACTCTGCCTGTCTCAGTCTCAGCTGAATCATTTCCCCCATTGCAAATGTGTGGGTGAGTTGATGTATTGTAACACCCTTTCGTAGCAGCTTGGGGTCATGTCTGGCTCCTACACACTGTATTTATTTGGGGCAATTACTTCACTCTCAAATCTTCAGTTTCCTTCTGAATTAACTGGGATTGATGCCTCCCATTTAAGAAGAAATTAGGAAGCAATGTGCTGGTGTACTTAGTAGAATCCCTATCACCACAGTCACCACTATAGACTACATGAGGTCAGGGTACATTGGTTTCGTTCTGTCCACAAAGTCCTCCTAGTGAAGTCATGCTGGACACCAATATTTATACTGCAGTCTTCCTGCTTGACACTCCCTAGCTTTATCCTGTTTTTTTCTTCAAATGATCTTCTACTTTGTGTACTTATTATGTTTCTCTGCTCAAGCAGAATCCTGAAAGGTTTGTGTGGTTTTGTTCACTGCTATATCCCAAAGCCCTTAAAATAGGAT